CGTGACCGCCGATGGCCCGGGTGGGCCTCGCACCTGCGGAGCACCTCTTCGCTGGTCCTGAAACGGAGGAAGGCACGTGCGCCATGTCCCAGCGCCGGTCGCGCTGTCCGCTCCATTCTTCGCCTGCGATGGGTCGGGGCTGTGGGCTCGGAACCCGCGGCGCTGGGGTGCGGGGTGAATACGCCGGGCCCTGCCTGCGGATCCAACCTGGGCTGAGAGCTGAAACGCGGGGTGCCCTCAGCCTAAGCGGTTGGCAGTATCTGTCAGAAGCGTGAGAAAGTGCTGTTCGCTTGGCTCCTGTAATTCACGTCCACGGTTGTCAGAGGAATAAGCTCCGGCACTTCTTTCTAAGGCGCTGCCTGCCGATGGGGAGGAACCGGAAGGAAACTTGGTTTCTCCGGCCAAGGCCCGCTGCCTGCCGCTGTCGCTGTGGCCTGTGGTTTGGCCAGGAGCGGTGTTGTGTAGGGTGCCATGACCGCGGGTCCTGAACAAAAGCAAATACTCAAGGGCTGGAATGGGGCTTATTCCAACGTGGCCAACCTCCCGCGTCCCTCCCCAGTCCCCATCCTGCACTGGTGGGAAAGGATCAGTGAAGTCGCCTGCCATCAGGCGGCTGGTGCCCTCTCCCCTGCAGCCAGAATTGGGATTTACTGTTGGCCACCAAACGTGTAAGCAGGCGTCACAGCCAAGGCAGGCTTGATGGGGGAAAAGAGTCCATGTTGTCAAGCCTGGGCCTAGTCTCCTTCCCTTTCTCCACAGCCATTTTGGTCTGAGGGTTAAACTAGCATCATTAGGGTGGCTGGAGAGTCTGACCGGCATCTGCAGATTATTTGTGCATGATTGTGCCTTCCTGCATGGGAGCCCTTTCATGTGCTTTCACGTGGACCATGAATCTTCTCAAATCCTGGGCCTGTTCCAAAGAGTCCATCCATATGCCTCACCGGCCAGGCTCTTTGACACTAATTCTCCAGCCTGGTGTTCTTGGGGCCCCGCAGGGGGGGCCACCTTTCGCCTGTAACTGCATGTATGCCTGGATTTCTCAGACTCAGGAGATACCCTCTACCCTGTGGTGGAGATTCAGGCTCACAGACAGCCCTGTGGGTGCCTTTCAGGGAGCTGCACCCCCCATGGCAACGGCAGGTCTGTCCTGAAGTTCAGCCCAGGGCCCACTGACCGCTGCTGGCTGTGTCACAGGTGCTGCAGAAGCCCCGCCGGCTGGCTTTGCCTAGGCCTTCACTTCAGGTCCTCCCTTCCACGCCCTTGGCAGTTGTACATCTGGGTTATGGTTGTTTCCTTTGGCCCTCGTGGGTGTCTTTTGTTTGCCCTCCAGACCCCCCTCTACCTTTCTCTTCCCTAAAACCGACAGGAAGCAGAGGGCAGAAGAGCTGAGTGGCTGCGTGCCTTGGGAGCCCCGGCAAGGAGAAGAGACATGGAGGGGGAAGACGAGCCCTCCTCGGCTTCTTCCTGCCTGGCCTGGTCCACGTGCTCCGCTAAGAAAGCCCCGGCTCCTGTTTGGTGCCTACACATCGGCTTCAGGTGCCACAGGGTCCGGGAACTGCTCCCAGGCCTCAGGATTCTGACCACTCGTGGCTGTGCCTAGTTTTGGGGTGCTTACCACCCCTATTGGCTTCCTTTAACCCTGCTCACTAAGGTCGTTCATGAAGTTCCTCCTGGCTGATCCTCATAGTTTGATGCCAGAAATTTCCGTCTGTTTCTTTCTCCTGGTGCTTTTCTTGGTTCAAGGGAGGGGACACCCTGCTATCTGCAACAGTAGCTCCATGGACAATTTTTACATGAAAAGCTTCCACACAAATTCAAAGATCTTTTTCCTCAAAGATTTATATCCAGAATGTTCTTAAGGGAAAGTTTCTTTTTGAAACTGCAGTGTTTCTAGTTATAAAGCTGGGCAGCAAGATTTCTCAACACTTCAATTGTAAGCAGTTTTGTAAGAAATGACACCTGCCTGGCCCTGTGGGCCCTGCCCCGCTGGGCTGCACAGCAGGAGGGCGCTGTCTCTCACTGTCAGTCACAACCCACACCATTGCAGCAGATGGACAGTGGGGTGAGCTGGGCCCATAACCCATCCTCTGCTAGAAGATAACCTTTTTCAACACCAACCCATAAGCCAGCTCAGGCTCAGCCTTTGAACCCTCCCATTCCTGTGTCCCCATCAAAATGTGTAGGGCCCATAGCAGTGTCTGGTTCCATGGTGTAATGGTTAGCACTCTGGACTCTGAATCCAGTGATCCGAGTTCAAATCTCCGTGGGACTTGTGTGTGCCTTTTGTTCCACCCCCCACCCCCTCCACTGAACAGTAAGATTTCTTAGAACTTATATTGTAAGCAGTTTTGTATGGAAACATGGCTTCCCCTTTTGTCCCCGCCTCTTCCCCCTAGGCCCCCCTTTTCATTCAGGCCCAGGCCCCTGGGCCAGCTGTTGGCTCAGGCAGTAAAAGGGGAGAGCACAACTCCATGAGGTGGAGCCCAGAGCACACGCGGCCCTAGCTGGGGAGACAGCAGCATCATTCACCCAATGCCCCACACCGGATACTTCAACTGTTTATTCCATAATCAGAAGTGGATCTACATCACTGCGGAGGATGAAACCCCACTGTAAATAGATTGAAAGCAGAAAATAGATAATTTCACACAATGTCCCGGTTATCAACCCAGACGGGTGCACAGGTACAATAACACATGAATGAGGGAAATCTAACAGGCCGAGGGTTCAAGAAGAAGGTCACCCACATGGTAACAAAATCCAAGTGCTCTGGAGACCAACACCAGGCCGCCACAGGCCTCACTTCACAGGCGGCCCTAACGTGCACGGGAGCTGGGCTCTGTGGTGGCTGCGGATCTCTGTGTAGTCATCTGTGGGCCAACTGCTCTCTTCCTTCTTGTTTAGGGCGAGCAGCACGTGAGGGCAGAGCGCGCTGTCATGGAACCCAGAGGGCTCCCTAGAGCAGAAGGGAGTGACCAGGCCCACAGGGGAGAGGCGGACAGAGGATGCTATCTCACCCAATTGTGGGGTGGGCTGGCCGGCCTTCATGTGCCTGACTCCACCTAGGGAGGACCGAGCAGGGTGTCCGCCTCTCCATTCTCCATCCTTCCGTCTGTGACCCGTCACCCTCGCCAGGCCTCCCCCAAAGTGAGTTCAGCTCAATCCCTGAATGTAAAAGGGCATGGTGGGGGGCCTCCACTCGTGCCCCTGATTCCCAGCGACAGGACCTGATCCCAGGACGGTGGCACAGCTGCAGAACGTAGATCCGTTTCAAGAAAAGGTGGGAATGCAGACTTTCGTATGAGCCCCTGTTCCAAAAGGTGGCAGTTTATTCACATTGTGGCAAAGACACCTTCAAGAGTAACATAAGTGGGTAAAGTCAGGGCCAAACCGGGCCATTTCCTCATCCAATCTCTCTGAGGCGTGTGGACAGAACCAAGTCTCAGCTCTTCGCAGGACACTTGCGGGGTTTTTTAAGCCTAAAGGACAGTAGTCTATCTCCATTCTTGTTCTTTGGGATTTTTTCATCGTTGGATAAAAGGATACATACATTGGGGCAATCCTTCTCGAGATACAATATTCCAGTTGCACACGTATGACGATGACAGCGCCTCTCAGAGGGAGGGAGCTGACAGATGGGAGCAGGGGGTTCTGAAAACCAAAGGATGACAGAGACACTAAGCCTTTCCTTCACGCGTCTGACACCCCTCCTCAGGCGCCTGCAGGCCGGGTGCCTGCTGGACCTTTACCACTTGATGTCCCGGCTGCTGGCAGACTGCCCTGGGCCCTGGTAGGCAGTGTGCAGGGCCGCCTGGGCCCGGGGGGAGTCGCCCCCCCCCAGCCACTCCTGGTACAGCTCCTGCACGTGGGCGCTGGTCTCTGGGGGCCGCACCGGGATGGCAGCGTAGATGCCTTCCATCTGCCGCAGCAGCGCCCTGTCCGCACGCCCGTCCTCTGCCTGGGCCTGGCCCCTGCCGCTTAGGCATCCTGAAAGACACAGGCGGGAGCTCACTCTCCCTCCTTCCGTCCTGCAGGGAAGGGTCCCGGGCAGGAGGGGAGCGCACGGTGGCCCGAGGCCTGGGGAGCCCTGTCCTAGGTTCACGGTCTGTGCCCCCTGCTCTTTCCTGTTTCCATGGCCCAGGACACGCCTTTACCTGAAACCAAAATAATCCGCTGCCCTTAGACCTGAGGGCTGTGTGCTCACATCTGGACTCGTTTCCCTGGAACTCGCTGTGTCCTGGTGCCTGCAGCACGCAGTGCGCGGCCCCCACCCGGCTGCACCCAGGAGCCCACACGCCCGGAAGCCTGGCCTCCTGTACGGGAGCTGCGTCCTCTCAACTGCCTTAGGTCAGTGGTTCTCAACCTCGGCTGCACATGAGGATCACCTGGGAATCTTTTTAAAATCCTGATTTCTGGGCCTCATCCTCCAGAAATTCTGTTTCTCTGTTATGGGGTGGGGCCACAACATTAGTAACAAAGAAACAGAATTTCCGGAGGATGAGGCCCAGAAACCAGGATTTTAAAAAGATCCCCAGGTGATCCTCATGTGCAGCCAAGGTTGAGAACCACTGATTTAAAAGAACTTGAAGCACGTTTCTGCCCTGGCCAGGCCTCTCTCCACCTCTCCCCGCTTGTCCGAGGCAGAGACTCTGCTCACTTCCCAGCAGAGCCCAGCGGTGAGGCAGCCCAGCTCTGCCCCGACTGTGTGGGTGCTGGACACCCCTCCTGAGGCCCTTCAGGGGCCCCTCAGCCTGGAACCAAGGTTTCCAAGGTGACGTCCGAGTACCTGCTCTTTCTCGAGAGGTGGGTGTGAGGAAAGGGAGGTGCCGTTGTGTCACAACAACGAGGGCAAAGCCGTGGAGACCGAGTGAGGCTCAGGGTCGGCGCGGAGGGACCACTCCCACGACGCCGTGGGCGAGTCTTACCCCCAGCACAGGCCAGGACCTCCACGAAGTGGTAGGGGAACTTGCCCCTCTTCAGCTTCAGGACCACGTTCTGGATGTTCCGAAAGCCGTACGCAGCCGCAAAGCGCAGCAGCACCTCTCCGTCCCTTTCCAGGGTGACCTCCTGGAAGTCTTTGTTCCTGTAACACAGACACAGGGACTCGCTGTCGAGTCCACTTCAGCCGCCTGTCATGTCCACTCTGAGTCGGGAAGGTCAGCAAGGTAAACGTCTGCGAGTGAACGCAGGAAAGGCCTTTGACCTTGATGGTGGAGACACTCTACAAACAGGACAGCCCTGCCCCAGCACGCACACAAACACGCACACGCACATATGCACACACGCTAACACGCGCACACACATGCACACCGGCTCTGGGGGATCTACCCTAACGGCCTTGCTGACCATACGAGCAGACGCACCTCAGGCTGCGGTAGGTGAGCGCCCCCACATCCTCGTTGAACAGCTCCTTGGCCGCGTGCCTGAAGATGTGCGCCAGGTACCCGTCGGAGCTGGCACCCTCGTGGCGCCTCACCTCCTCCTCCTTCACGTCTCCAAACCTCGTCAGGCAAAGAAAAGCGACAAGAATTACAGCAGATTTCAAAGTGTTATGACCCGGGGCTGCCACATGGGAAGTGAGACCCTTCACTAGCCCTTCAGCTCCAGCAGAACCCCATCAGCCTGAGTGGTCACCTGTGCCCACCAGGCTGCAGTGGGCTGTGCTCAGCTGCGCAGGCAGTGACTTCCCTTCGCTGCTGCACGTGCCTCAGGGCGTCCCCAGAACCTCGGGCTGGGGGTCCTGGGGCCTGAGCCCCACCAGGACAGGGTACATGGTCGGCCTGGCTCAAGCACAGGCTGTGGCCATGGGCACTTGAGCGGCTAAGAGTCTGTAAACCTCAGTCCAGCCTCCCACCAAGGGCCACACATAGTCCCGGTGCCACTACGGGCAGGACTGCGGAGTGGCCCAGGAGTGCTCTGCACATGCCCTGGCCCAGGACACGGCAGGAGCACCGGTGATTGGCTGGGGTCACCACTGGCCACAGAAACCCAGCCTGCTGCCCTGGGCGCAAAGGGACCCAAGGAATCTGCTATTTCCCTGAGGCAACCGCCTGGGGCAGGTGCCACCCCGTGCCCACGTCCCAGCACAGCCCCTAGTAAAGCAGGGAGGCCTGGCCCTGTCCCCCCAGAGACCCCACGGGAGGCCCATCCACAGGCGGCCTCCCTGCAAGAGCCACTCACAGAGTATCCACGAGGGCGTCGTCCGCGGACAGGTCACTCTGCTCCATGAGCTGGACAATTTCACCTACAGACAAGCGAGAGGCGGTGGCCCCGTGGACACCACTCGTCCTCGGGCTGTTTCCAAAGTTACCTTCTTCCCCACAGGAAATTCTAGGTCAAGGTGACCTCGGGTGTTGTCCCCCTCACAGACAGCAGGGGGCCCATCTCAAGTGCAAAGTAACACCAATAAAATGCAAAACGCAAATGAAACGTAAGAGAAGCGTATATTCCTCTTTCTGCTCTTGCAATGAGGCTCTCTGCAAACAATCCCTGTGTTTGTTTCCAAGCGGAGACTCTGTGACAGCCTCACGGGAGGGATGCTGCATTACAGATGTCCTGTGGCCCGAATGAGACCAACCGGAAATCAGAACCACCTCTGGACTCCCCTCTGCACCCGACTCACGCTGCCCTCGACTGACCAAAGACGCCCTTGCACCCCAGCACAGGGCCCTGCGCAGGCTGCAGCGACGTCCCCACCGCACATGTATGTTTCCACTTCACGGAAAGGGAAGACGTCACTCGTGCCCCCGCGAAGGCCGGGCTGTCAGAACTCCATGGTGAGGTGGGACTGCCCCCCACCGCCCTGTCTCTCCCTCAGCCTGGGCCACTGATTCGAGGTGAGGTCACTTTGTTCCATTATCTGGACAATTTCACCTGAGGTTAACACGCAGTCAGCACCCCGGGAACTATGCAACGCTGTGGGAACATCTTCTCGGAGGGCCTCCAGTTTCTTGTCATAACACGGGGCCACAATGACGTGGAAAATCTTGTCTGGGGACAGGTTCTGTGGAGACAGAGCGAACTGTCCAGGCTGCGGAGACGAGCCCACCCAGCTGCCACCCTGCCCGGCGCTGCCTTGGTGCCCAGCTGCTCTGGGTGGAGCCCGTCTCCCACCGACCAGCTCCTGCTGCAGTCGCCGCCCTGTTCCCACCAGCTCCGCCCGTGTCTCCCTGGCTCGCCTCACTTCCTGTCCGTCAGCCCCACGGACAGGCCCGGCTCCCCACTCGTGCTGACCTCGGGAAGAGGCCGGCTTACCTGCCGTCTGGCGAAGTAATCCTTCACCAGAGAGCCCATGATCTGCTGGGGAGACTTGGCCGTGCAGAGGTGGGGCGTGATGGGGTGACCCAGCACGCGCTCCGCATATCGGACCCAGCCTGGGGAGAGACCAGGGCTGCGTCAGTTCCTCCCGCTGCTTCCCGTCCCACATTGGGACCCTGAGCTCCCGCGACCCTGTCCACGGGCGAAGCTGACACCTGTCCAGCCTTCCGGAATGTACGCGGAGCGGCTGCGGCTGGGGGCTCACCGGGGCAGGCGGAGGTCAGCATGGGGAGCCGGGGCTCCTCCTCGCGGTGCTGGCGGTACCGACGCACAAACTCCTTCTGACTCTCCAGGATGCTGAAGTCCGCGGCTATCGTCATGTCAAAGACATAGTGCACCCCTGCGGAAGGAGGGCCTCAGCTCACACCCCTCGCCGGGTCCCTCTCCGTCGGGACACGAAGGGACAAGCTTAGCGGATTTTGCAGGCTTCCCTCCTGGGCACTGCAGTCACCTCGGCTCTCGGCTCCATCACTGATCGCTAAGTACAGGACTGTACACTTTTTTTTAAACAATAGCACGTGTTTTTCATAATAAAATACCTACTCTCTCCTACTTCCTGTCTTTCTCCCTGCATCTTACTGTAAGCACCTCACCGTACTCCACACGTAAATTAATGGAATGTTACAAGGCACTCAGAGCATTCTGTCCCAATTCACTGTCTAAGTAAATTTCGGTCGGTAATGATCCTTGACATCTTTAAAATAAATAAAACGAGCAAACTGGCTGAGTACACCCTTATGATGATCTTAATTTTATGTTGATTTTTAATTAGCTATCTTTTTCTTAAGTTTTCTTACTATTGGTGAATAAGCTTGAGACAAAAGAATGTATTTTCAATAATTAAAAATAAATTAAGCAAATAAATTTAATATCTACAGCCAGTCTAAATCTTAAAAGCAGCCAGTTATTCTTAAGAAATATAGTAGCCCTGGCCGGTCTGGCTCAGTGGATAGACTGAAAGGTCCCAGGTTTGATTCCGGTCAAGGGCACATGCCCGGGTGTGGGCTTGATCCCCAGTCTCTCTGAAATCAATAAAAAATAAGTAAATAAATAAAATAAAAAATATAGTAAATATTCTAAGTGTCATCTAAAACCATTACCTTAAGGAATCAAACCCACAGTGAATACATCTCCCTTCATTATTAACAGTAACAAATCATGCCCAACTGTTTGTTTGTTTTTAAAATGTCCAAGGAAGGCCTTTCGCTCTGAGATCACACGGCACCTAACAGCTCGCGCTGCGGTGAAACAAAGCACACCCTCGGCTTCTAAGATGGAGGAGGGCTGCGCAGGAGCCCGGCTCGCGGCGCCTTGCTGTGCGCCAGGAGCAGCCGGGCACGGCACCCCTGCTCGTTCTGGGTCTCATCTCATGTGTCAGTGGTCCCCAATGCATTCATGTCTCTGAAAGCTACTGCGGGGTAACAAAAGCTGCTCTTGGGCAAACGGCTCAAGTTCTCCCCCCGGAGCCTGCCCGCTGACGGCTGCAGGAGGGCCGCGAAGTCTCCAGGGGCGGGACCGTTCTAGTCCGACATCAGCAGATAAGGGAGCCCTCCTGTTGCTGGGCAGTGCCCTCCAGTGCGCCTCTCATCTGAGTCCCTGCTGTGCTCTGAGCTGCTGCCTTTCCTGCTTCACATGAGGCCGCAGAGGACAAAGTCCGCTCCCTCCTGCCGGCTCTTCAGAGCTCCCAGGAGACCAGACACCACTCCCTGCAGCCGTCACTCCCCACCACACAGATGACCTCAGGGGCCCCGAGAGCCAGGGCAACAGGACACGTGACCCCTGGCCACCCTGTCCAAAGCCGGTCACTCGCGGCTCCGGGGGGGCCGTCCGGCAGGAATGCAACACCCGGCTGCACGGCAAGGGGCAGTGCCACCGCCCGCCGTGGTCAGAGGCAGGTCACAGGCATTACCCACCCCGAGCCCCGGAACACTGAACTCGGGATGTGAAAAGGCAGTGACAAGCTCCCGTCCACATTCACGCCGACTCCACAGGCACCTCACCAAGGCTTTTGAGGAAGCCGCAGAGCCTTCTGGATGCATCAGTGACACTGAGGCTGAATTTAGCAGCAAAATAGGGCAGAGACTGAGGACACACGGACACTGCCAGCACCTTATGCTGTGAGGCATCACATTTCTAGGAGAGACAGAGAAGCACGTCACACAGGTGGTGGGTACAATCTACTGAGATCCAGGACAGGCAGGAGGTAGGGGGCAATCTTGGGCAAAGCCTGGGAAAGTGGCAAACACTGGCAAGAATCACTGAAGCAAAGTTACAGTTAAAATATGGGACATCCCAAGAGATTTTGTCGACTTTAAGAACACTAGTATACTGGTAAGTTCACATATCTGGAGGAAAACGATCATTTCAAAGAAAAACAGACACGGAGGAGGAGGGATAACGCGACACCACGTCTATGGGGGGAGCAGCCCTTCCCCGAAGGCTCATGGGAGGAGCTCTGTGCGGTGAACTACCCGTCCTCAGCTGCACCTGCAAACTCAATGCAGCGCCAGTCCAAGCACCGGCCAGGCTGCGCCCAGGGCTCCGGGCACCTGTGCTGCCTGCTTTTTTTTACCCGTGCACAGTGGGGCAGGGGACTCCCCCGCCTGAGAACACCCCAGAGGCTGAGCCGCATCAGCCTGGCCTCTGAAGACCCGAGACCTCAGGCACGCTCCCATGGCAGGACCTCGCCCGGTGGAAGCCGCCCATATCCGGGGATCCTGGCCGGTGGTCCGGCCACAGCCAGTGCCCAGTCCGGGAGGGTGTGACGGCGCCGGCTGATTTTTCTCTGAGGAGGAGGGACCCTGCAGAGGGTTGACGAGGGCATGGGACCCAGGGCCAGGGCCAGGCTGCCTGCACGTCCCAGCAGAGGCTTCCAAGCCCTGCTCTGACCCCCACCCTCTCCAGGCCAGGGTGCAGTGCGCACCGGGCCCCCTACCTTGTTAAGGTTCAGAACACGGAAGAAGTCCTTGGCGTTCTGCTGGGAAACTTGGACTCCTTCCTCTGCGGTCACACAGCTGTCACACGCCAGGCAGTCACTCAGAAATATCTTGGCATCGGCCAACTTATGGAACTCTCCCTTCTACGAAAGAAAGATGGCATCCTGGCCTGACTCTTCACTAAGAACTCTGCCACGTGGTCTTCAGGGAGCAGCAGCACAGGCACAATGCAGACACCGCCCCAACACCCGCGGGGAGGAAAGCGGCACTCCTGTGTCCTGGCCCGTCTTCCTCCCTCGGCCCCTCCTCTGCTGCCTCGGGGGCTTCTGCTCTGGGCCTGCTGTGCTCTCCCAGGTGAGTTCACCCAGGTCCACGGCACCCATGGGAGCTCAGACCCGGCACAGCTCACTGCCGGCTCAGGCATTGCACGTGCACGGGGCCCTCGGCCTCCTCAGGAACAGGGACCCTGCTCACCTGGATGTCCAGCTACAAACCCTGGGGTCCCCCTCGGCCCCCGGCGTCTGCCTACCTGGCACTCCGCTCCTGAGGTTCGCTGGACCCCAAGATGAACGAAAACACAAGCCATACCTCCTCTGCACAGAGGCCTCTTCTCGAACCACTCAGGGCCCTTGTCCCAGTCACTCCCTGGCTCTCACTTCCAGCCAAACTGCTCTGGGTCACCCCTGAGCCCAGAAATGCTCCCCAAGAGCCCAGCTCACCCCTGGGGTCCTCACAGGCACCTACCCAACAGCCCAGATGACCAGCTAGCATTTGTGTGTTGACTCTCTCCACGACATGTAAGCTCTGGGGTAGGAACCCTCTCCTCTTCCTGCTGCCCAGCACCTCCACGAGGCCCCGGGTACAGCAGGTGCTCAGGACTATTTAGTGGATGAACACAGGAGCGTTCGGGAGCCTACGGGAGCATCTGAACAAATGAACAAACGCTCCTGCCAGCTGTGCATTTATTTCCCTTCAACCACCAGCTGGTGAAGAGGGCCCTGGAGGGCCTCCGTGCAGGATGGGAGAGCGCCACCACCTCCCTCCTCCCCAAGTGCCTGCTACTGTGCAGCTCCCCCAGGACAGCATGTTGCAGAGGCATATGCGTGAGGTCTGAATGGGCCCAAGGTGGGCACTTCTAACGCAGCGACAGGGGTGGGGGTGGGGGTGTCCGAGGGTCTGGAGCACGTGGCCTGGCACCCAGCTGGTGCTCGAGAGACTGCTGAGCTGCACTGAGAATCCTGGCCCTACTGGCCCTACAGAGGGGCCCACTCTGGCCGCCCACCCAGGCCCCACACCCGGCCTCCCACACCGTGTCCTTCGATGCTCCCTCTGCTCAGCCAGCCGAAGCCGCCCTTAAACACATCGGATCTGTACCCTTGACGGACTCAGTGGCTCCCACCACTCCTCCCCCAGGCCACTTCTGTCCACTCCTCTGTGCCTGGTGGGCTCACCACCATTCCTACACCTCCCCTCAATTCTCATGACCCCAGGGCCCACTCCAGTAGCCCCTTCCCTGGCGAGCCCAACCTCACAGGGTGTCCACCCACTGAGCTGGCGGGGGGCCCGCTTTGGCTGTGCACACGTTATCTTGCTGTGACCAAAGCCCAGGGGGAGGGGGAGAAGCAACCCAACTCCCCGTGTCACTGATAAGGAAACTGGGCTCCCAGGGTTAGATGGCTGCCCAAGGTGATGCAGCCAGAGAGCAGGTGTGGGGGGCCCCAGGCCCCCTGCTCGGGGATGCAGGGCCCGGGCAGTCCCTGCTTTCTGCCCTAGACCCTGGGTGCTGGTCTCACCCCCTCCACTCACGGAGCCCACAGTCGCCCAAGCGCAGAGCAGTGCTGGTGCACAGGGACCAGACGGACGCCCGTCAGGCTAATGTCCTCTCAGGGCTACTGACCCACAGAGACCGGCACTCGCTTCTCCGGGGCGGCCACCTCCCATCTGGGAACGGGTGCCAGTACTTTCTAAGGGACGCAGTGACCCTAACCTCCCCACTGCCACCTCCTCTCTGCTCGACGGGATGGCAGTGGGGCTACTCGAAATGCCAGTCCTGAGCACAGAGTGAGGCCCCCGTACAAAGCACTTCCTCTGGGGTCCAGCTTGGCATCTGTGCCCAATAAGCCACTGGCTAAGGGATTTAAAACCCCACAACTGAGCTGGTGAAGAACTGTTAGAAAAATGCATTTACAGAACCATGACAATGGAATCACTGAATAAATTCCCCACCCAAACCCCCGTTTTACAGAATGGAACTTTTGGTTTTAAAAAAGGAACTGGAGGGTTAAGCATCACACCACTGTCTCTGACAAATGACCAAGGGTGACGTTCGCCTCTGTTCCCATGACAGTCTGTCCGGCTGTATTTTGGGATGACGAGCTCTTCGGCCCTCTTACCTGGGAGGCCGTGTGCCTCCCGCTGGTGGGCCCTGCACGCCGGGCCCCTGGCGGGGGCACCACGTTACCCACTCACATCTCACTTCTCTTTTCCTCAAAGCAAGGACGTGTGGGTTGACATGAGCCCCGAAGGGGAGCCCCGAAGGGGAGAAAGCCAGCAGCGGCTGTTTCCTCCGGGCTGACACGAAATGGAAACTCGACTTGCCTCTCCGTTCTCCTGGGCCGGACTCGGGGCATCGGCCGAGGCATTCTCTTGGTCGTCGGTTTTTGTTTTTTTGCTACATTCCTTGAAAAGGCACAGAAAACAGATAAAAGAACTTTGACTCTGAATTAAAAAATGCATCCCTATTCTGTCAATTAACCTCATGAGTGGAAATCTCTTCTAGGTAAATAAAAGCACATGTTGCCCCGGCTGGTTTGGCTCATGGATAGAGCACCGGCCTGCGGACTGAAGGGTCCCAGGTTCCATTCCGGTCAAGGGCACATGCCCAGGTTGAGAGCTTGATCCCCAGTGTGGAGCGTGCCGGAGGCAGCCGATCAATGATTCCCTCTCATCGTTGATGTTTCCCTCTCTTCCTCTCTGAAATCATATATATACACAATGAACTAGAAACACAGGAATGCTCCGAGAAGCCGCCTCCTGCACTACGTTAGGTTACAAAAAAGATCAGCTGATGGAATAGCATTCACGATGCGATTCAATTGTCAGAAAAACAAAAACAAAACAATCCCTCTGCCTGCGCTGCGCGGTTACTTATGTTACTGCGGCCTAGAAACAGAGGCAGGCGGCCGAGTTACCATGGTTACACAGGTGGCGAGGCGGGCCACACTTCTGGATTGTTTTGTTACTACAAGCACTTACGTTCTTTGCAAAGTTAAAAAACAACCCGAAAAGCATCGTATCAATGGTTGACTTCCAGAATGGGGTTTGCTTTGACGGCCCTGAGAGGTAACAGGTTGTTCTACTTTTCTGGGGATTTTGGCTTCAAAAAAAAAAAAAAGCATTTTGAATGGCTGGCTCGGCGCTCCGAGAACTGGAGCCGATTGCGAAGTCCAGGTCCGCGGCGGCACCACCCGGGCCGCGGCAGGGTGAGCGCCCCTGCCCAGTCGGAGTCGGTCC